AAAAAAAAAACAATTTTTAACATTTATGCCGTTCCCTTAAAAACGGTGCCGTCTTATGATTTTTTCGATGTAGTTTCTATTTCAAGTAGACGTTGATGGAAGCTCTTTTCATATACATCGTCTTGAGACAGATGGACAATATTAATACGCTGGCGGTATGAAGGGAAAAATGAGGAGTAAAATGTTGACGATATTATATACAATCCGCTTGTGATGAACGCTTGCTTACAAGAAAGAAATACTTTTACGACAAATTCTTTAATATGATCATTACAGCATTTTTTCACCATTTCTATGTATCGGGTCAGTTACTAGTGCGCAAATGAAAATTAAACGGTGGAAAATTTTGTCGCATTTCTATCTACCAACAGACATAAATATAATATCAATCATATAAATTATACCGCGATCAATTTGAGAATTCTCGGTAATTTTTGATCAAACCAAATAATTTTTCTATCGCTTACAAGGATTATTTTCAGCATCGGCGGTCAGTTTCATGAAACGTTTCTTAAATGCCACATCCAATGTACCGATTTGACGACGTGGTTGTCGTGCTTTTTCCAAATTCTGTATAGTCTTACGACGAGCTATACGATCAGGTCCACTACCAGAATCGTTATCATAATCGCCATCGATGCCTTGTAAACGTTGCAGATTTTTAACTATTTCTACAGCATGCTATTTACCATACATATATGTATATACATATATATATGTATATACATGATATATATATGAGAGAGAGAAAAATGATTTATGCACATTAGCTCACCTTATCAATTAAAGCATCCTGTGAGAGATCTTCAGATTTCTTCTTGCAAAAATTCAATTCAGTCGATGCCAATATATGAGATAATGTACCGAAACGATGGAACAACATTGCCACAAATTGTATGATTAGAATTAAGGCGAAGAAGAAGACAAAAACCAAACCGATAGGTTCCAATTGTAAATATTCCTTCGATATATGAACCTAAATCCAATCATCGAATCGCAAATAAGAAAAATTAAAAAAGACAAAGAAAATTTCGATTATAGAGAGAAAGGTTTGAAAGTGTTTTTTTTTTTAATTTTTTTGTTTAATTTTTAGTAGAATTTGTTAGTTACCGACCTTTTGGAACATAATTGTTAGGAAACAAAAAACAAAATAAAAGAAAACAAAAAAAAAAAAAATGCATTTAATGAGTAAATAAATTTTTTATATCCCTGGTTTTAGGGAAACACAATGTGCCATAATGTTTTTGTTGTTGTTGTTGTTTTGTGATATTTTGAATGATTGTTGATTTGTGCCAGCTGATCCTTGGATTATCATTGAATTAATGCATTAAACGAGTATTTATGTAAACCATTTAACCAACACACATACACACATAAAAACATATGTACATAAAAATAAATTGTTTATTTTAATTTTTTTATTTTCAATTTGATGATCTGAAATTAGTGGGTGTGTCTGTCGGGTAACAAAACCGAATTGTTTTAATTAAAGGTTTGAAAATGTTTTTTTTTTCTTTTTTTTTTTTGTATATTAAATGATAATTATTCATTATTTCAGTTATGAGTGACAGCCTTGTAAGCCATGTAAAGGAATGAAAGAACATTCACGATAGGTATATAAAATGAACCAAAAAGTCCCAGGCATGGTAAATGTTTTATATTCTGGTTCGGTGAACTCTAAAATAGATTCCCTAATAAGAAAACTAAGAAAAACGTGCTATAATGGGTCGCGGCTCATCGTTAAATAGCTTAAACTATTCCACAGCTATCCTTATAGCTACTTTTCAAAATAGGGCGTTATATGAAAAGTGGTCAAAAAAATAATCCGATCCGAACCATTTTCAATAGTGTTCGTCCAAATATCTCAGAAATATCGGCCTGTTCGTTGAGCACAAGAAAATCAAACAGGTGGACGGACACACGGACTGGAGCAAAGACGTTATATGTTATTATCTTGCACCTATGTGATCAAAATTCCCTACCGTTAAGTTTTTTGCTAACATGCTCCTATTGGCAATGTTTTCTTATAAAATATTAAAAGTGGGCTTAGACTTATGTCGCTCAAATTTGGGCCACTTGATTTTTATGTCAAATTAATATCATGGACAAAGTTTAGTCTGAAAACATTAACAATGAAGTCTTTTTGGCTTATAAGGGTTTACATTTCCTCAGAATCCTTATAGACCCATTTGGTTCAAATTCGGTTAATTTCTTTGTCAATTTACTATTAAGAACTAATTTCCCCCATGAAATATTAAGAATTATACCTTTTTACCATGTAAGGATTCACTTTTCGCAGGAGTGTTTATATGAGAGGGAGTTCAAAAATTGCCTCAGCCGAACCAATTTTCTCGTTTCTATTTAAAATGTCGAAATACTATTGCTGAGCGTGCTTTGTCGAAAAAATAAGATGGAGTGGTCAAAAAAGTGAACTGATCCGAATATCTCAAAAAGATGTCATTAAACACATCTTAAAGTTGTGAATCGTGGGTGGAACACAAAAATAGATGGATAGGCATTAAACGGACAGGCGGACAAGCGGACATGCGGGCAGACTAACAGACAAGCTTGTACCGTTTCAGAAATGAAATCGGTATAATTAGAGGAGGGCCTACCTTAACTCCGCTTGGTTATTACATATGTTTACAGTCTACAAGAAATTGTGTATTAAGGAATAATTCGAAACATTCTTTTTTGTTGGCTTATTAGATGCTTCGGACATTCTATAATATATAAAAAAAATTGTTTGCTTCGAAAAAATTTTTTACTTAAAATTACTTCCCATCTCATACGAATCCTTGTAATAACATTTGAAGCCAAGTTTCGTCTTTTTAGATGACAATTTGACGTTGTACGCAGGGCGGACGGACGTATAGGCAGGGAGACGGACATATAGACGGGCGGACATGCTTCGTTTCCGCCGCACAATCTGATCGAAAATGTGCACTTCATAAACTCTTCGATGGCTTTACATTAGTCAAATATGTTAAAAGTTCTATAGCGGGCCTCTAATAAGTTTAAATATAATCACACATATTCTCGTGAAGTATTTATCTTAGAACACTACTATTTATAGTAAAAGTAAGAGAAAATGCAAGAATTCGTTATTGCAAAACAACTTCTGCAGACAAACACTGTTGCCTTACTCATAATTTTGCTGACTACTAAAATTTCTAAAATTTACAATGGTGTTACCACCTTGGAACAAACTAACAATTTGGTAAGGTTACCGTTAATAATATTCAAATAGTAAAAGTTATCAAACTATGTAGAAATTCGAGGCAAAACTACACGAAGCTAGCTATCCGAAAAATTGGCAATTGTCAGAAGGGTTTATCATGTAAAAATATAATGAAATTTTATAATAAAGACAAGCGTGAGGGTGAGAGAGACGGAGAGAGACAGAGATTGAAAGGGAAGAAAATAATATTGATCTTTGGCTGGATTTTAACAAACAAAAACAGGGCGAATCGTTGTATTGTACCCGTAGTTAGATTTCAGTGTTTTTGTCTTAAACAGCTTTTATGGTTCATTTCATAACAAATTTTTCCGATGCTTTACTTTTAAATAGATTCCTATAGGATGTTGAGAAAAGAGAGAAAAACGCATTCCCTAAATTGATTCAAAGACGTTCAAGAACACCTATCGAAACAAAAGTATGATATTGTATTCATGTTGTTTCAAATGTATTTATGCAACGAGTAGTTATTTTGCAACCAGTTAAACCCAAAATAAACGTAAAAAGTAAATAAAAGTGTAAATAGAGGAAATCATTGCCCAAAAAAAGTTTTGTTTGAAAGTTTGTTTGTCTTCAAGATCCCCGAAAACTGTGAGTGATTATATAAAGGCATTACTAAAACATAAAGAACACACACACATACACACAGAGACAGTATCAGGATTAGTTTTCTTTTAACCCAGTAAGAAAGGAATGGAAATTAATAAAAAAGTCTTTATAAGAAAAAAAGGAACATACATACATATACATATCCATATATATATATATATGGGGTGTAGAGGTAGGTGTTGGCTTGGTTACTGTTGTTGTAAGTAGGAGAAGAAAAGGAACAAACAAAGAGAGTGAGAGAAAGTGAGAGAAGGGCTTTGGAAAAAGTGAAGGAACACATTGAACTCTTATATTAGTTGTACAATTGTAGCGAATGTGTGCGATAAGAACCTCAGAAGTCTCTTCAATGTATGTTATATTCGTTTTGACACCCAGTGGCCAAACAATATGCAATTTGTCCTTATTTAGCTGTAGCAAGAACACAATCAAGACGAATAAGGCGTTGGCCATGAAAAATGCGAAGACCGCTTTATTCCTCAGCTCAATTAGATCGGATGCTATACGTGCCTGATAAATCGTATGATTTTTATTTAAAAAGAATTTTTTTTTTTGTTTTTTAAATTATTTTGCAGATATCATCAGCACATCAACGCACAAACCATTTCATTTCATTGTTATCAAGAAAAAGGCATATAAATGCATAAATATTTAGAAGAAGACGAAGAAAAAAAATTTTTCGAATTTTGAAAAATAAAATAAAAGAACAAGAAAAAAAGAAAGAAAACAAAAAAGAGAGAATATGTTAGTAAAGCAATTCAATAGGGATTTCTTCAAGAAAACGATCAGCGCCTAAATGCTTACAAGAATTTAACTTAACCCTAAAATCGCATTTCTTCCTCTTTTAAGATTTAACGTTTAATTCAATCTTAACTGCTAACACGATATAGCTGACGTTTTTCTCCGAAATCCCTTTGATAAAATTTACCTCTTGTGTGGATTCATCATAAGTTATATTCGTGCGTACACCGAATGGCCATTTGACATGAATATTATCCTTGTTTAGTTGCAATAAGAATACAATTAATACGAACAAAGCGTTTACCATGAAGAAAGCAAACACTGCCGAATCACGTAATTCTTTAAGATCTTTAGCAATTCTTGCCTAAAATTGTACGTAAATGAGGTTAAGATATTCAAGGTTGTCGAGAACAAAACAAAGTCACACGTTTAAGTATAAAACCGTATTCCTAAGATGTCTCCTTTCTATAACGCTTTAGCATGAAAACCCAAAGATTGATTATTTATTGTAATCGAGACCTTTTCTCTTAGATCTTTCGTTAGAGAGTGAGACGGTTTTATACTTCTATTTAATTAAGATTTTTTTTTTCACTGCAAGAGAGCTTTATTTGTCTTGTTGTCATTTTTAATACTTAGCGGTGTACGTTTGTAAATCCACTTGAGAATCTGTTTGCATTTCGCATCGAAACTGTTCAAAATGTGAATGCCATACATACCTGTTCAACGGGATCGTTGTCGATCGGGTATAGATATTTGTCGATTAAATCTTTCCAAAATTGTATTTCTGAACTGGATAAAAAATCCACTTCACCTTTACGCAATTCGGGATCTTCAATCCAATAGGGGTTGGTAAGGAAATCACGCTCTTGCCTTGGTTCGGCAGATGTGTCCGAGCCCGATTCTTCTGTTTCGCCGTCCGATTTCTCCGCTACCGATGAGAGTAGATGATGATCTTTCGAACTGCTCGATGTTGTACGCCTACGTCCATGACGATGTGAATGTTGTTCATTGGGATTAACCGTTTGCTCAATGCTGTCAATGCGATTCTTAATAGTGTCTAAGGAATCAGCAATTGCTGTTAGTTGCTGCTTGTCATCAGACGTTTGACCGTGTGTACAAAATATGCAACGGAATAGACCGGCTAAAGAAAATTCAACGGAACCTTCTTCGTCGCCGTTGTTACCCACACCGCCTTGTAAGAAGCCTAGCATACTTTTTTGTTTAACTTTTTTGGCAGCTTCTTCAGCTGCTTTCTTCTCCGCCTCCAATTCTTTTTTAGTCTTCTTGGCTACCACTTCTCTCGTACCCCAGGACACCACATTCAAGTTAATGATCGAATACAAAATCAATAGTAAATACATAGAAGGAATTGACAGAAGGTATATCAAACCGGCTGTAATGCACCAAAATTCTTGTGGATGTAAACAGGCTGCTATAAAGAAGGATCCTGTCATGGCTATTAAGAATATTGCCGATGGCGAACCGATACCGTCCTCGCCTAATTGCAACGCTGTACCAACTATTACAGCCATCATAATGAGAGCATATGCGGTTGATAAGACTTGGGCCACAAACAGTTGTATGTTGGATTTGCACGTAAAGCATATGAACATAAAACCAAGAATCGGTACAATATTGTAATGGAATGAAGTCCAATTATCAATACGAAAAGCGGCCACAAAGGCACCCACCAACATAAGAAAAATAGTACCTGGACCCAGTATCGTTCCACCCATTAACATCATTTGATAAAAAATATAAAGCAAGGATATGTTATCGTTAATCTTAATGGTACGCTTAGCGTCGGCCAACAGATCCATAATGTTGGCTATAGTCGAGGGTACCCAGCGACGACGTTGATTGTAAAATTCATTGAAGCCTTCCGGACAATGCGTATAAGCATCAGAGGCAGCTGAATATTCTACACGATAACCTCTCTGTAGCAATAAAGTGCAAAGCCAACGATCTTCCCCTTGATCGTATTGCACATAATGACGAGCTTCATCCGAACGTGTTGTATACTTTTTCATGACATTGTCGTCCATCAAAGCTTTGCCACGAAAGAGTGAAAAACATCCAGGACTACAAAGTACGCAACCAATCATGTGCTCAGTTGCTTTTTGAAGCCAATGGCCAATAGCATATTCAAAAAGTTGATACCACACCATAGGACCGGAGCCAACTGGGTGAATACGACCGCAAGCAGCGCCCAGATTTCTGTTCTTTTTCATTAAATCTACCAATAACGTGACAGCGTTAGGCTTGAAATCAATATCACCATCCAATGTTAAAAGGTAAGTATTTTCGGCTATCATATCTTTACGATCTACCGAAATAGGCAGTTCCATAAGGCGATGACCTAGCAAGTAGTACATGTACATAACTTGTGACCAACGTTTACGATGACGTATACGATCTTTATCCTTTAGATGGGCAATGAATTTTGTTTTTCCAGGCAAAGTCCAAACCAGACGTCCTCCATATGGCGTAGGATATTTCTTGGGTGGCCTTAAACGTATAGTGGTCTGATGAATTTCCGAAGCTGCCTCATCCATGGTAGCTACTAATAATTTTACAAAACGATTTACTTGAATATCATCATCGCTGTGATCGGAAATTTCGAAAGCATCGTCGAAAAATGTATGAGCTGATGAAAGAAAAGAAAACGATTATAAGAAAAATTGCGTGAAAAATAATGCAAATAAAAATCGTACTTTCGAATTCATAGTAATCTGGATCGACAATGCGTAAATATTTCTGAGCTACACGACGAGCGCACTGGTCTTCGTCTAGACGCATAATACTTTTCAAGAATTCCATCATTTCATCTTTCGTTTCATGCCACATGGTAGCGCAAGCATAAATGCGAGTAATATGATCAGAAGATTTGATTGTCGGTTTACTTTGAACTGCCGATCCGTCCGTATGCACTGATATTGTTTCATAATACTCATCGCCTTTCTCTTTTTCAATTTCTGACAAATCTTCTGTTTTAACATCAGCCTGATCGTCTCTTCGTCGATTCATGGCCATCGATTGGTCGATTAACAGAGCGCAATACATTGGTTTAACAAACAATTTCTCTGTCGTGGCTAAACGTTCACATTTCGGAGTCCAAATATGCAAACTAATCCATGTCTGACTTAACAACCATAAGATCCAGGCCCAAGCCATTTGCTGTGTTACAAAATCGTTGAATCGAAAATTTGAAGGGCTGGTAAAGAACAAATAATCGGGTATGGTATCATGGAAAAAGCATGGATCGTCTATACGTATGCCGCAGGCAGCTATTAGAAGCGAGACCGAAACCGGTATCGTTAGGCTGACAGGGAATGCATAACTGAAACCTTGAATCAGAATTTTGCAGGCAAATTTCCCGAATATGTAACAAAAGTAAGCTCCAAGTATTTGTAGGAGCAAAACGTAAATGACAGTGTTCTCGGCCGCGTCAATATCAATGCTATCGATATTGGCCGCATCCAGGGTATCCGGCAAGCTACCTGTTAAAGTTATTGCCAACTCGTCTACGGAAATCTTGTGCGGTCCAAATGCATCTGTATATAAAGTAAACATATTGCCTGGGTCTTCGCCTTGAGTCCAATAAATAAAAAGTACCGAACAAAGGAACAAAGTTATCTTCCATACGGAAAGAAACATATGACTGAAGTAACGGGTATATTTCAATTCATCTTTAACGCGTCCCATTGTTTTAATTAAACCGAAAGAAGATTGAGTGGATACATAATTCTCCCACCAGCCACAGGAAATCATTAGACATGCTATAGGTATAACCCATAATTCTTTACGATTTTCTAAAAGTGGCCAAATAACATAACCGGTTACTTGAGCTGCTACGGCTACCAGATCGATAAGCATTTTCATGAAACGTTTGCCTTCTTTCGAAGTGCGTGACATTAAACCCAATACACCTGGCATCACACAGAGGCAATTAGTAAGCATAGCTCCTTGAATCGCATCCAATTGAGGCAATATCACAAACATTAACAAAGCGGTGCCAAAAGCATTCAAACTTTCCATTAATAGCATAAAACAAAAATGTTCTTTTTTTGGAACTTTGAACGTCTTAAAGAAACAAATACGAGCCGAGCGTATCAGAGATCCCAGCTCGGGTATAGCAAATGCTATTATTAATGCCCACATCCAGGCAATACGTTCCTCTTCAGGTAGTTTTACGACAAACGTTTTATCGCGCCCCTAAAATAGTAAACATTAACTGCATTCATTCACTTAGGGTAAAAGAGATTATCTTACCAGATCTTTATTACAGTATTCAAGCTTCTTGTCTTTACGTAATTGTGATGTCATAAATAAAACACAGCCTTTTGCCATCACACCGCCGGCCAGCACTAGGATAAAGGTAATGATGTAGGCAAAAATTTTTAGGATTTTCACAGTCAATTCTAAACATTCTTGATTCGCCGTCGAACCAGTTTCGATTTTGATCGGAGGATCTCGGAATACATCCCAGCCTTTTGTTTCTTGTATAGTACGTTGACTGGAATGTAATTAAAATTTAATTATATCAGTGAGACCCGGTTGGTATAAAATTCTTATGTAAAACATGTAGAATTATAAAGTCATTCAGAAAATGCACGGCCCGACTTTTGCCAGACCAATTTCCCTCTATCATAAATAAATCATAAATCGATTCTTCAAAAAATTTCCCTGAAAATATTTGTTCTCTTTCTTGAAAAATTGAAAATTCTTGCAAAATGATTGAATAACTAAAAGCAATATCGTGGGCCTAATGTTAAATACTCTACAGCCCTTCACTTAGTATGTTAATAAGTTATTCAGATAATGACTTTTCAAAACAATATGTTATATAGTGAGTAGTCAAAAAAAATGTCAGGCCCAAACCATCGCTAATAGCGTTCGTCCTTGATCCATTTTGGTGTACTAAATTTCATCAATGTATCTCAGAAACTCCAGTCTGAAGATTGAACACTATATTATGGGACAGACAGGTGGACAGATATCTAAAAAATTGCCACAGTTATTCATATAATGATTTCTCAAATTAAGGTGCTATATAGTAAGTGGTCGAAAAAATGGTCAGACCCAAACCATGGCAGTAGCGATAGCGAATTGCGTTCGTCCTTGAACCAAAACTTGTTCGTGTACTGAATTTCATCAATATATCTCGAAAACCGTGATCGATGGATTGTATACGAGAATGCAGAACAGACAAACGGGTAGTTGGAGCATGGAATCGATTATATCTGAAAAACTACCATTTTCACCAGCGTTCAGTGCAGCATGTCAGCGTAACAAATTTCATCAAAATTGCGACCTATACAGTGAATACGAGTATAGGTGAAAAGACATGAGATGGATAAACGGGCTGACAAGCTTAGATCGATTCAGAAAATGGTTCTAAATCCATCGGCATAATTAAAAGTGGGACTGCCTTAAGCTCTTCTGGTTGTTACTTACGTCCGGAAACAACTTAATATACTTTATACTACGAGTGGTGTAGAGCATAAAAAGAGGAAAAAGTTGAATTTGCTTACTTGACAATATTGGATGCTGGCAGCATGCAGGTTGAACAGTAAAAAACAAGACTGATAAATGGACATACGGAGACACAAGCTTAAATCGGTTCAGAAGCCGATTCTCAATCCGTATAATAACAGGCAGGCCTATATGAAGTCTTTCTCTTCTGTATATATCCGCAGGTGCTGTATCTAATTGAGCATTTCTCATGATGATGGATGTGGGAGGGCGAGAATACGAAACTGGGCACTATATTTGTATGTTATTAAACCAAATTTAATAAGAATCCACGCTGAAAGCCTTTAAGGATTAAAACGAGTCAAAAAATCTGACTGATTACCACCTTGATTTGGTCTTGGAAGACAGTAAACTAACTGAATTTCATTTAGCCAAGGCCTCAATTAACTCAGTGCATGAAGTTTGAAGCAATACAGTACATATGTGATAAAGCTAATGTGAACATGGGTGTCGAGTTAACTAAAATCGTTTTAAAAGCTTATACGAACGTTGAGCGCTTTTCGGTAACAATTATATTGGTTTCAAAAGGCTAAAAGTGCGTACCAAATTTGTGTAAAGCTTTGATTGACTCCTATGATTATGAAATATATAAGTAATCCGCAGAGTGGATTGAGATCAATGGTTCAATTTTAAAAAAAGTGAATCCGCCTGAGTGGCCGAGTAGGCAAGAGTCTCAACTAGAAACTCAACGGTCGTGGGTTCAAATCCCAAGTGCGGTAGAGTTTTTAATAAAGCCGAAAGCCTTAGATGATAGTGCTTTAAGACTTTAGTCTTAGAATTTATTCTTTGGCTAAAGTTATAATAAAAATAATAATAAAAAAGTGAACCCAGCTGTAGAAGACTATCGTTTGGCGAGCAATTTCCCGTACTACCATGACACCCCATACATTGTGCTTGACCCAACGCGGTCTTCACTCTCTGGGCCTTAGACAGATTTAAATATGACGTATTTTGGCAAAGGCGATTGTAGCCTTGAAAAACGCTTCTTATAGCAAAGTTGCGTGCGGTTTTGGTTAGTCAGGGCGGAAGACTTCCCTTAAATCGGTAAAATAACAATATAATAAATGCAGTGATAGGTAACGCGCGCAGTGACAGACATAATAATCGCTAAAGTAACAACGAATCAAATGGTAAGAGGAAATTGGCATTTCGAATCCATTGGATGCAAAAATCCAGGAGAACAATAAGATACCGGCTCGCAACAGCCCCTTTGTAGTCAATTCTTTTGTTTTCTTCTTCTTTCTTATTCTGTAGTCAATTCTTTTGTTTTCTTCTTCTTTCTTATTCTCTGTGTTCATTTATGACCAGCCCAGTCAGGCGGTGTGTCTTTCTAATATCGCTGTCATAGTTGCCATCAGGAAGGATGATAGATAAGGGATAGTTAAGAACACGAAGGTAGTGTAATTATTGTTTCGTTGCACTTGTGAGAAATGAGCCATGAGTTCTTAAAAAGCAACACTTCTGCGAATAGGTGAGAATGCTAAAGAAGTGGAGTAGTTCTATTAAAGAACTTTGGAACTATTGGACAATCTACCATATATACCATCACGCTCTAAACACAGTTTTTCCGAGTTTCATATCTTCTTAAAAGTTCAAAGGAGTTCTTATGTGGCAAACGTTCTTCATTAAATGAAGAAATTAAAGCAGATATGAACCAGTGTTCCCGAAGCTTTGCGGAAGATCGATTTACCCATCACCGCTATACCGCGGCTGATGTTTTCTATTTCCAAAATAAAAGTTTTTACCGCATAGGTATTTAGGCGTTGTAGCAAATTTGTAGGCGATATCCTCATTTTCGCTAACGGGGCAATGTTTACTAGACATACTATACACTTGTGCAGACAGACAAATGGACGGACGAATAGGCTGGCGTGTTTAGATGGACAAATGAACAGATGGACAAGTTTATATGCTTTATGGGATTTTTGAAGTTAGTTTCGGCGCCTTACAAAGGCATTGAAAAAAAATTAAGTGTTGATGCATTATAATATTGGATAGGCGTGGTGAATTTTTTCCCATTTTCAAACAGATGCTACAACATCGTGTACAGAATATGCGTTCAAGCTTTTATTTGAAGTCGATAGGAGTCGAGGGACAGTCACATGGGTGGACAGACGGACATGCTTAAATCGACTTAGGATTTAATGCTGATCATACACACATATATATATATATATACTATGTGGGATCTCTGATGCTTCCATCTGGATGATACAAACGTTTTGCCAAAATGAATATGATAAGGCGCTTATTAAAGCGGACCGCAAACTCACTGAACAACTCAAACATTTCCTCTCTTGATATTTACATTGATGAAAATTTCGTAAAATGCCTAAGTAACGTGCAAACAAGTTATTAAAAATCCAATAAACTTACAAACTAATATGATATAAGATAAGTTATTAATGCGCAGAAGTATTTACGACTTACCTTCCGCCATAAATATCTTGGGTTAATGGTGTGTTTTCATCGTCTGTAAAGTTATCATCGCTATCTCCTGCCCCTGGTGGGGCCAGGGGACGATGTCTTATATTAGACATCTCTCACTCTCTCGTTTTCGCTCTTTCGCTTTCGTCTGCAGCAATCCACAGTGAATGATTAAAAAAACTAGCACTCGTTCAGCATACAAAAGCTAATTACAGATAATCAACTTTCATTTCCTATTTACACAAAATCATATTCCGTAAACGGGGTTTAAAATAAAAGAAAAAAAAATAAATTGTTTTAAAACATTTTTAATTCCAAATTTTTCTTGCTGTCAGTATATAAAATATTTATCTGCAAAAAAAAAAAAATCTCAACATTTCTTAACAAAGCACTTCTTTAAACATCGGATAAGTAGTCGCTTATAGTTGATTATCAACCTACAACGTGATGTTGTATTTAAATTTTGTTCGCCTTGATGCAAGCAATGCTTTTCAATTCATTTATACGTTGCTTTTGGCGACCGAAAATGATAAAAACATAAATTTTACACATTGTGTAATGTTGTTAAGCCAACATTGTAAGAATGATCGTGCTAAAGATTCACGAACAGCCCTAGGGTAAGATAAGATTGAAATTCTCACACGAAGGTACACTTAGTTTGCATACTCAAAGAAAAACACTTTTCCAAATATCATTAAATATTCATTCATGTGCAGGAATTCATATTAGATTGTCTATGAGTTATTGAGGCGAGATTTATTAATGAGCATATCCTCTTTCTTTGTGTACTTGGCTTGGATCAAAGTTCCAATACTCAGCTGATTGACCTCACATTGCATTCGTCACAATGCTATTCTTGTTAGTAAGTGACTAGCCACTTAGTGGATGTTATCCATATGCTTGGGCATGATGGTGATCAGGAAGGATCATGTCGTGCGGTAAAGAAGAAAATTGTAAAGATTTGTGTGCGCTTAACTAGAAAGCTGAAGAGATATCGGCAACGCTATGAAATTCTACTGCAAGTAGATTGTGCGCAGTGTGGGGTTGAAGAACAGCGAATCGCGAGCTGGTGGGAATTTAAAAAAAGCCAAGGAATTGTGTTAAAGAATTTCATTGACGGACAAATCTCTTTTTATCACTGAGAAAAATTTACCCTGAACAAGGTTTGCAAGGGCTTGATTTAATCCCTTTTTATCGTCCAGAGACACTTTTATGGCCGAGGAACCCTTACTCTGAGCAGCTCTTACGCCCTGAATATCAAGAGTTGCCAATTCTTTTACATTGACCTCATCAAAGGAAAGGGACTGTTCATCACTTCTTCTGAGCTTGGCGTGTGACTTTCCAAACCAATGAGAAATTTCGCGAAACACGTTTTGATCGCGCAAAAGTGAATAAAAATCGTGTAAAAATATGTATTTTAAAATTTCAATTACTGGAAGGAGGTGTTCATTGAACTTTTTTATTTACTTTATGTTTGTAATTTAAGTCTATAAATATTAAAGAATCTGCACAACCTACTAAAGCTGTTTGTTTGCTTTTATCGTAGCCAAGAAAAGCCATTTTTTTATAGCCTTCAAGGATAAGGGATATATTCATTTTGTCACAACGTTTGCAATGCCCAGAAAGAAGCAACATTTCCAAGTCGATTTAAGCATGTCCATCTGGTCGTCTGTCTGTCTGTCCGCCTTTGTAATGTCTGTTGAAAAAGCATTCTCTTGATCACAAAAATGAAGCAAATTTGGCAGAAACATTTGAAGTTTTTGTGCATGTGTTGGTATTGCAAATTGGTAAACTCGATGGAAGAATACGTTTGCAGTGTCATATCAGCTGAGAACCCCTCTGTTTTTCAAAACGAATTCAAAAATTGCTTTTTGGCCCATTACTCATGAACTACAGCAGATAAATCTACAAAAATATGAAGGCATATTCTAGGAGCGGTGCTGTAGGACCGTTGCAAAAATGGAAAAAACTAATTATATCAAAATTTAATTTATTTTTTGAATACCTTTCTAAGGCATATTGGCCTGTTTCAAATTTGCATTGCACCTAAGCATGTCTATCTGCCTGTCTACGCAAGTGTATAGTAGTTGTAGTAAAGCAATAATGAAGATATCGCCTACAAGTTTGCAAAAGAATTTTGAAATGACTTACAGTTTTCCAAGGACACGCCTACAACGTCCAAAGGCCTACACGAAAACAACTTTTATTTTGAAAATAAAAAAAAATCAGCCAGAAAAAAATCTCCATATTATAAAGTATGAAAATATAGTTCTTTCAGTTTTTTTTTGTCCTTAATAGCATAACGGTATGGGATAGGTATAAAAGATTCGGTGATGACCGCTTTTTTATAAAACCAAAGCAGTTCATACTGTAGGGAAGAATCGATTTTAGTTTACAATGATTATCTTCCGCATTTATGCCCAGCATAAAACTAGTTTGTTACTCTGACATTTCAAGGATTTGAAGGTTACCTTAACGCAGTGCCTTTTCTTGTTTTTTTTGCCTTTATAGGTGAGAAACAAATGCAACAAAGAATTCTTCAAGAACTGAGAACACTAGATTGAACTCATGAACGATGGTTAAAATATAAATAAATTCAAGTCTACAATAAAATAAAAGGAAATTGCAAGTCATATGAAGTAAGGGACGCATAGTTTAGCAGATAGAAATTTGAAGGCATAGTAAAGCTAATTACTTAGGAATTTAGTGCAACAGAACCCAGAACATCATCAGTAAATGCACTTGAATTGAATCTATTTAAAGAAGAAAAAAAAAGAGAAAAACATGATACGATCGTTTAAGGTGAACAAAGTAAATCATTTGTCTGTAAAGCATTTACATATGTGGTGCTTGCTAATGCAGAGCAATGTTGTTTATGGTATAACAACCGACTGAGAGAATAAATGAAATGACCAGCCAACCAACCAACCAAACACTTAATTCAGTAAAGTATGTGATGGACATTTACCGCTGCTATCATCAACAGGTAAACGCACTTTATTACGCCGTTGGTCACCGAAATAATGGAGATCGGAATGTGAGAAGATTCCCTAAACAAATCGTAGCCGGTAGCTTCATTTTCTTCTTCTCCTTCTGCTCTTTTCTCTTTTGATATGAACAATGACTTAAGGGATGTCGTCTAGGCGTGTATGCGTGCGGTGAAGGTTCGGAAGAAGTATGATGAAGAGAAGCACGTTATTAAGTGTGTGTCCGGTAAGTTGGTATTCATTTTCTTACCCACCAAGTGCTCAGGCGACCACCTACCAATTGGAATTAATGGCCTGCAATATTGTGGATTTGATCTGGACCGGATATGCCCTAATACGTCGCACTTGTACACCACGTGGCTTCTTAAATACCAAAACCCGTTGCAAGCATGTTTTGTGGCCGGACTAGCAAATCCAGCGTAATATAGATCGTAATAAACTAATTGAAACGACGATGTTTAGCAAAACAACTTGTCTTTGTAATGTCTAGTCTTGGTAAGCGTGGCAACCGAGCACTCTCTATAGCTAAGCGGCCAAATATGCCTCACCGATCTGAGATTTGAACTCGCATGCACTGGCGTCGTAGTCTCGGTTCTAATTTAAGTGACCTCTTAATGCTGATATGCGATATCGTTTGAGGTTTTTACGGTGGTCAGATGAGTTCCTTCCGTAAGTTCGTTCAAGGGAGATAATTTTTTATTATTACAATAAACAAGCGATATTTTAGTCCCTCTTGCGATATATTAAATAAAAAAGAGACTAAATGCACATATATTTTGACACCAACTATCGTTATATATCTTATCTGATATTCGTCGCTTGATATTGTACGATGTCGATCAAAAATGTTTTTTAATACAAGTCTTAATATAATAAATATCTATGCTTGAAATTATAAACGGTATCAAGTGATGACGATTGGTTTATTGCGCATTCAGTCGGTCCGTATGTCTTCGCACAATCCTTTTTTTATTAGCATATCTTTGTTGCGACAAAAATTAAAATAAAGATTCGAAACAACAAAATTAATTAAATTTAAATAAATATCTGGTTAAACTTTTCAAATGTAATGATATCTAAAAGACTGGTCCGAAAAAATATAATAGTTTTTTCTTTTAAAAAGTTGCAACTATAAAATTGATCTGAGTTAAGAAGAATAAGAGCGGGCCACGAATCTGTATTAAATACCTCGCTACATAAATATCTCATTTATACACTGACTTTTCAAAATAAAGCGCAATATGGGAAGTGGTCGACGAAGTGGTCTGATTCTGAACATTTCCAAAAACTTTTGTCGTTGGGCCAAAACACGTTGGAGTGCAAAATTTTATCAAATCTCATATCTCCATCACCATTTGCCAGCTGTAGGTTGAACGGAAAATGGTTGAAGATGGACAGATGGACAGATAAGCTTGGAATCGATCGGTATAATAAAAAGTGGGTCTATTTCAACTTCTTCTGAGTGCTACAAACATCCGCACAAATCCTCACAATATAATCTTGCAGCAAGTGCGATGTAGGCTATAAAAAGAAAATTTATTACAAATATTTGTTTATTGTTAATAACTTGCACGTAAATATTTATTTTAAATGATCGATGGCCAAGACTCTCTTTAAGTAGGGTACAACTTTCCTACTCATTTCAACAAAATGCTGTAAAACTTGAATTATGTTTTAAGCGAAAATATGGTTGCATTTCGATAAGACGTTCGTTATATATACATACATACATATACATATATGCAGCAACAAGAAATGCTCTGGTTTACCTTGAAGTATGAATAGATATATGCTTGTACGAATAATTATCTGCATTTTATTCAATGTACCATTGAATCATGCACACAGGGTAAAAGAATTGTCCGGCATAGTTGATATATATGCGGTTTAGAAGAAAAAAAAAAAAAAAAAAAATCAAAAAGCCAAATTTCGCCATACAATTCACAATAACCAAATTTATATATATGTATATATAAATATTTTTAATTGTTGCTCTTTTATATGTAGCGTAGTAGTTTAGATATAATGGCATATGGAAAATTAATAAAACCACAAATGATTTGTAACATTTAACCGAAGCAAGAATTAATGCTTAATACAAAATGTGAAAAACAAAAAAAAACATTTTTTTTGTCTTTGCGACAAGGCATAAATGATAATTTATTTTATTATGAAGTCGCAAAACCACACTGAGCCATACATATACAAAGATGACTGTGATAATTTGTACGTAATTCCTTAAACAA